GAAGATACATTTCGGATCGCATCGTGGCACAGATCTTGGCCAACAGTACAAATAGGTTATGGGTCACTCAACGACCAAAATTTCTCGTACTAATCCGTTGTGACGCGGGGCTTACCCTAGATGGCAAGCGCGATGTACAACTATATAACGCACAAATGTGCGCTCTCTTTTTTTTTTCTTTTCTAGTTATTTATTGTGCGAGACCGTGTATTCCTGCCTCTTTCGCCAGACTATAGAAGATCGAATCCAAGTCCGCAAGAAGGTTCTCAGGCGAATCGAACTCCTTGATCACTCCCTGGTCGAGCACCATGACCCTGAAACGGACACGGATGTCGGTGTTTACCCTAAGTGAACGATGTGTTACCTTCACCACCTCATCTCAACTGCAAGGGTGACTCTTAAGGATCGCTAGGCCAGGCAGAGTGTCTGTGACGGCATAATTTTAGTGTGACAAGTAGATGTATATCATCGACGGACGAACGCACGCGGAGCGAGCGAACCCCACTGCGCACCCGGCGACGCACACAGCCACGCACGACAACAACACACACACGTAATGGCACGACAACACACGACACACAATCACACATCACAGCGAGTATATTAATAGTAATTTATGAGGTATCTAATACCTTATTTATACCTATATCCAGATGAGTATAATATGTACATATATATATTGAGTATATCTGGTCCTCATCTCTCATCTCAACTCCGATCTCGTTCGCTCTATCTGCAGACCTGCCTCTCTCTCTCTCTATATATATCATATAATTATATATATAATATATATTAATGGAGAGACGAATGGAGGATGAGAGACGATAGAGAGAGAGATAGAGAAGATAGATAGGACTAAGGTAGCTAACATAGATACGAGTAAACTTTCGTACTGTGCTGTCCCATGATCGTGTTTGTAGTCTGTGAGCGATCGGAGCACAGTGCGCAGCGCGAAACACCGCCCGCCGATTCGATACTCCTGGAGAGGTCGTCCGTCCAGATGCGACGGCGGCGGCCAGGTGGCTTAACATGACAATGATGAGCAACCACAAGTGACGACTTCGTTCTTGCGCAGCAGCAGCGGCGCGCGAGCACACCAGCTGCCGCTGCCCACGACTCAGGTCTCGCGCCCTCAGCGGCTCACCTCGTTGCGATGTCCTCTGCAAGAGCGACGAACGCCTGCAAAGATGCCGGTGTTCCAGCACCCGCCCAGATGTCCGCTGCCGATGTAACGCAGTTACAGAAGGGGTCAAGTCTCGCACGGAGGTGCGCCCCAAAGAGAAACTGAGGAGGGGTCCTGCGGATGATGGTCAGCTTGAGCCGCAGCTCGTGTTAGCCCCATCTGCGCAGGAACAGAAGAAAACGTACATTATATATCTGATATAAATTCGTAGATTTGAAACAAGCATTTTCTGGACAATAGACCCATTGCTATCATACTATAAAATAATCATATATATATATATTATATATATATATATATATATATAATAAAGATAAGAGAAGAGACGTAAGAGAGAGAGAGAAGAGAGAGAGAGAGAGAGAGAGAAGCGAGTGAAAAGAAGAAGAGAGAATAGGGGAGAATATGCGCAAACATATCGCCGAAAAGCGGAATATGGATTACCCAAAGCGATGTGTTTCGGGCCGTCTATTCTAGGATTGACCCTCCGCCAGCTCTCAACTAAATACGGAAGAGAGCCACGTGCGAGGTGAAACTCTGGTCCGGCTCCGATCTCGCCGCAAGATTCCCATTCAATCTACACGATCGGGAGAGAGCAACAAAATGGAGAGAAGAACGGCAAAACTGCACAAATCGGCACAATTTTGTTAAAATGTCCGCGAATCGAGGCCGCTGAAAGTGATTCGCCGCGCTGTACCACTATCATTGATTACCTGTCGTTGCAAGTTTCAAATATACTACTATGGAGGATTTTTTATTCAGATGATTCGATAGGTCTCAAGGCACGATAGATACTATCGACTACGTATACGCCGGCCTGTCTATGAAGCCACGCAGCGCCACAGTACGCCGCGTAGTAACGTGTACCTGTTCTCCTGGCCACTGCGATTGTTGGCCGTGACTCCGCATCAAACGACGCGCAAGTCCGGCCTGTAGCGCAGGGAGTAGTCCCTCAAATTCGCATCTCTACCCTTTCCGGCCACATACATCAGGCTGGTGGCTAGAGCTCATCACCAATCATTCCGAGTCGCCACGGCGCACCTGAGGGAGGCATTCACACTAACCTAATCACAAACCCATGACATGGATCGAAGCGTAAGATTTCCGTCGACTCGACAGTAAGAACATATCCTATACAAACAGAGCAAGTACGCATGAGAAAACGTAAAATAAGTGTTGATAGTTTAATTTGTTGTTTTGCGCTTGATAAAAGTATTAATTGGTTATATATACACCGCATTATCTAGTGTGGATTCTCATGATATCGCACGTTGATTCAACAATAGTACAACTTATAAGGTTTAAGTATGAACAGTTATGCTAATTGGATGCATTTCACTTCATTAGCAGACAAAGAGAAACGCATGTCTTGACCTAAGATAAGTAAGTCTTAGTCCATTGTATGTAAACACAGTGGGGGCCGCTAGAGAGAGAAGATTGTGGAGCCAGCAGTGTTTACCTCGTTGCGGATCGGTCGCGTATCCTCGGCTACCGCGCTCAAGATGGATGACAAGGCGTTTCGTACATCTAGGTGTCCACGAGTTGGTCATCGATGAAGAATCGAACGTGCTCAGCGTAGTGACGTGGAACCTGACAGTGTAGAGACTCCGGGGATAGATCCGACATTTACGACAGCCTACACCTAATACACGGCTAATGCAGCATTTTGGGAGTGCTGGGGGCTGTTGATCAGAACCAACAAAATTAATTCTTAATCTTAGACGTTTAAACCTCACGATGTTCCTGACTAACGGCCCGCTGATTAGATAACCACGTTCCAAGTCCCGCTATTTGTTATGTCGGTCAAGCTAGACAAGTTATAGTTACGGGTTTTCCACTGCCCGTTCTCACGAGGTACAAACTGCCGACTTAGTGTTGCCAAGCATTGTCTGTTAAATTCCTGTGTCACAATCATTATTAGCTAGATCTGTAGATGCTCAAGCCTGGCTGAATTGCGATTGGCACGTCACGGGTGATTAGTATTGAGTAGGGGTATGAGAGGGGGGGGAGCGGGGGCATTTATCACGTAATCAGAGAGAGCGTAATTTGTTTGCAGCGAGAGCGATTGATTGAGGGTCCAGTAGAAGGGGATGAACTCGGAGTGAGGTGTAGCGAGGAGCCTGCGATAGTATGTGGCTCGGCTGTGCTGAATATAGGCGAGTAGTGGGATTGTGTTTTGTGCGCGTGCGTAGTTGGTGGCGGTAATATGACAATCGTGAACGCGGATAGATAAAGAGTCTATGGTCTACACATCTAATGGTATTCTTTACATATTTTTTTATTATTGAATGAATTAATATACGTGCAATAATTAATTACTCTATTTATTAATTAACTATTCATTATTATTTTTTGATTGTTAACTAATTATTTTATTAATTAATAATAATTATTATTTATAATTTATTAATAATTATTAACTATTTATTATTAATTCATTATTTATTAATTCAATTAATTAATAACTCAATTCCACTCCTAACTATTTTATCCAGCGGCGGCACCCTCGGAAAGGGATTTTCGTGTTTGATATCGTCTGCTATACTCACGGTCATGGCGTAGGAGATAGACAGACCGACCTCACCCGCTGATATGCTACCTAACGACCGAGTGATGACAGCCAGCAGTGATGCCGAAATGACAACCAGGTTGCCTAGAAACTCCAGCCGCACACCGAGCCAATTCTATAAGCGAGCGAGAAGAGGAGAGCGTAATCATATAGATTCACGGACGCTATATATATACAGCAAGAAGTAGATCAGTGGTACGTGTTAGGGTGATACCCGGTACATGACATCTCATCATCGTTACACATAGCGGTGGCCTGAAACGTTCCTCAATATGATGGCACACGTCATAAAGAGTGAGCGATGAAAACGTCCTCAATATGTGCACACGTCATAAGTGCCTGAAAACGTCCTCAATATGTGCACACGTCATCAGTGCCTGAAAACGTTCTCAATATGTGCGGACGAGACCATACTTGGTCAGTGATTGCATACGTTATCGGTACTTGCAGACGTCGCTTCTATACCTGTTGGCAATCAGGCTCGGATAGTAGCAGATTTTTATCGGCCACTAGGGTATCCAGCGCGTATGAACTTCCTTCTCCTTGCACTCATAAGACTGAACAGACAAAGGGATAGAGAAAAATAATTGTTATGCGCCGCTTAAAGACGGGACTACTCAGAGCCGGGTGTGCACCAATTGTCGATGATCGACCTGACCGAAAACCTCCGGTAGTGTTACCAGACCGTGCAGCTACGGCAGCAACAACCCACACGTACCACGCATCAGGCATGCACGGCACGGCACGCACCACGACGCACAGCAACGCGCAGCACGCACGATTATTACTATGTTAAAGCCCACCTGACCAACCCAATCCCTAGTGATCCTCCCTCCGCCTGGCCCCTGCCGTCACTCTACCCCTGTCCCTGCCACTGTCCCTGCTTCTGCCCCTGCCCCTGCCACTGTCCCTCCGGCCCTGTCCCTGCCACTGTCCTGCCCTGTCCCTGCCAAACTCGAGCCCTAGTGCCCCTGTCACCTGCCAACTGAGTCCTTGTCCCTGGCCCCCTGCCACTGTTCGCTGGACATCTGCTCTGTCCCTGTACTGCACTGGTCCCCTGCAATATCTGCGCCCTGTCCCTGTACCTGACCATACTGGTCCGCTATGCATTCTGCTCCTGTCCCTGCCCCCTGCCAACATGGTCCCTGGCCACTGCTCCTGTACACCTGACTCGCCTGCCTGTTCCTACAGGCCATTGTCCCTGCGTCCTGCTTTCCTGTCCGCAGCTAAGCCTGCCCTGTTCCTTCCATGTCACGGCGACAGCGCTATGAGCTCCGCCCGCGGTCCCCCTTGCCATTGTCCCTGCGCTTCTGGCCCACTATGTGCCCTGCCACTGTCCTTGCTCCTGCCCCTCACAGATACGTACCCGTAAGCTCTGATGGTGCCCGCCCCTGTCACAGACTCAGAGAAGTGCGTGTACATCGGTGAACGCGTGATTGATTCCAGTCGCTTCAGCTGGCGCGACGTGGCGATGTAGAACTTCTACATGGAGAGAGCAAAAAACAACATGCCTTACACAGTGTATCAGCACTGGTACGGATAACATATAAAATTATATTATTATGTTGTCAATTATAAAAATATTATATTTAATATACTACTGCTCTACTCAACTCACTACTCAAACTACTACTATCTACTACTACTACTACTCAACACCTGAACAGACTAACTGACATACTCAACTAACTAACCTACCTACTACTACTACTACTACTACTACTACTACTACTACTACTACTACTCACACTACTGCTTGAAGCACTACTACTAATATACTAGCTACTAACTCTGAGCTACTACTACTGCTACTACTACTACAAATAATATAAATAATAATAATTTTTTTTATAATTATTATTTAAAAAAAAAATTATTATTATTATTATTATTATCACCAACATCATTATTAATAATATTAATATTATTGTTATAACGTTGGTGTTGTTGTTAATTGCATGCTGTTGATCATTACAATTATTATCTAAATATTTATTAGGTTAATTATCTTGTGTACCTGTATGAAGTAGTACGCGATGCCAAGTGGGATCGCGACGAAGATGAAGTACCACGTCGAGATGGAGATGATGACGAGAGTTCCGATCACGCTGAACGTGATGTTCATGAACTGGTTGAAGTTTCATCGGCAGCATGTATCCATGATGTCAATGTCCTTAGCGAACCTATACGATCATGGAAAGGAGGTCGCGATCGGTTGTGTGGGATAGTAACAAAGGTTTAATAGTAATAGTGTTAGTGATAGTAATAGTAATAGTAATAGTGTTAGAAATAGTTATATAATGGTAATAGTAATAGTAACAGTATTAGTAATAATATTAGTAATAGTAAATAGTAATAGTAACAGTATAATAGGAATACCAATAGTATAAGCAGTGCAAGACAACGTATAACACTGTGAGACAGTGCATGACACAGTGCGTGAGACATAGCATGACACAGTGGCCGTGGATAGGACAGTGCCGTGAGACATAGCATCGACACAGTGCGTGCAGAACAGTGCGTGAGACATAGGCAAATCAGACCAGTTGCGTGAGACATAAGCAATCGACACAGATGCGTGAGACAGTGCGTGA